TTTTATCAACCATAATTAGTACATTTCTTAGTAATTTTAGTAGATAACAATTAAGTATAGACATTTTTTTTGTATTTCTACAAGTAATAACCACATCAATATACATTTTCTTTTCTAATTAATCATCTTAATCACCTTGTCGTGGATTCTATTTTTAAAGTTCTCATTTAAATTTGTTAAGATTTTCTTAGCGTAAATTACACTTAAGTATTTAAGTCTTTTTCCTCATACAAGCCATCCCAACACTTTTACATTTCTCATATCTTAAAACAAAAAGAAAAAAAAAGAAATAATATACCACTTGAAAAACATGTCCCTCTTAAGCTAAAATACATTTATGTCCAAAAAAAATTCTATTTTTTAAAAACATACTCAATCCAATATTTAATCTTTAAGTATTCTATCTAATAAATCCATAGCTAATCTTTTAAAACTATTCAAAACATTCTTATTAAAAAAAATTCAAAATCCATTATACTTAAGTATCTAAAATATAAATCATCCCAACATTTTTATATTTTTCATATCATAAACAAAAATAGCATATTGCTTAAAGAGCCTATCCCTCTTAAACTAAAATTCATTTATATACACAATTTTATTTCTTTAACCATATTAAAACAAGTGCTTAATCTTTAAATATTTCATCTGATAAGTCCCATCATCTAATTTCTTAATTCTAACTTTAGCCTTTTTTTTTTGCCAAACGTCTTTCCTAATAAGTATGTTCTGCTGAACCAAAAGGTCTTCCCATAGTTTTGCAAATATTGTTGTAGGTACGAGAGATGAAAGTAAGATGTTCTTGTGGGGATGCTTTGCTCCATCAAATTCCTTGAAAATCTTTTACTTTCTTTCTCTCTTAGTTTCTCTTCTCATTTTTTGCCTCTCAAGTTGTCGTAGTTCTCCTGAAAGCTCTGTAATCCATTTTGTCGAATCTTTTTTCTTGTTTTTAGACTTATTTTACAATCTTGAAGTATAAGTTGTCTTTTCCATGTCCAATATTTCCTGCATGTTTTTCTCTACCTGGGTTAAATCATAGTTCCTTCCATTATTAAATTTCATCTTTGAGCCTCTTTCCTCTAGTTTATGCTCAGTTATATGCTTTAGTTGATCGCTCTCTTTTGTTGTTTTCTGAGAGTTTGTTTGTTATGAAGTTAAATTGAGGATATGTTCATTTAAATTTTCAAAGTTATTTTTAATTTCCTCATGGTTTGAAGTCATTGTCACTTGTATTAGTTGTAAGCATACATTTCCTCCTGGAAAGTATTTGTTTTTTCTTGATATGTTTTTTTCTGCAGACCTCTGATGTTCCATGATAGCCAAAAATCAAAGTTTTCCTTTCTCTGCAAACAGCTTTAAAGTCATAGTTCAATAAGTATTTATAATCAAGGTCAATTTTTTTTCTAAGTTTTATAGTTCTCGCTTTATAGATAGCCCAAAATGTTTTCTTTTCTTTATTATGGCTGTTCTTTGTTTAGTTAAAACATTGAAAGTCACAATAACAAGTTATCTTTTCCTTGGCTTGTCAATTCCTGGGTTTAGGTCAGCCATAATTATGTATTTTCATCCACCACTAGATGTCAGTACCAGTTCATTTTTCAATTTTCAAAACAGGCAATTGTTTTCTGTTTTCATTCATAATCTTTTGGCAAGAAAATCTTAACTAATTCTACCAAATTCACACTTATCCAGATTTAAGTCTTATATGCATTTCATTTCAACTTCCGTCTGTGGGAGGGTGGAACAAAAATCCCCCTCCTCTCACTTTCAGAGGATTTTTTTCTTTCTTGGGGTTTTTTTCCCCCCAGGAGATCAATCAGGTAGAAGAGAGAGAATCGGTATTCTTAACCAGTTCTAGACACGTTGTTTATGATCAAGCTTGACTTAGTGCTTTTTGGCTTTGGCTGCTTGTAGCTTGGGCTAGACTCTGGAGTGACACTAGCCTTTCTTCTGTTGGTTTCTGGAGGGCTTTCCCTGACCGACCAGATTGACCGCCATCTCTCCACAGTCAGCAGAGAGGGCCTCTTCGGGATGACTTTTGGCCCATTTAGAGTCCCCAAACAGAGAAGAATCAGCCGTAGGGTGCAGAGTCCCGCGATCCCTCGGCTACTTGTGCTACTGCACAAAACCAGAAGCCAAAAGACTTAACACTTTCAATAAGTAATCCAGAAAATATGTTTTAGTAAATGAAAGTAAATGCATTATTATTGCTGTCTACTTTATATAACCAAAAGGACAGCATTAAAGAAGATGATTTTCAGATCGATGTACAAACAAAGACAATCGAAGCCTTTGTCTATAGTCACCTTCCATAGTAAATGTCTGAGCCATCTACTTATAATAAACTTGTTTTCTCAAAGAACAACTAGCCCAATTTTAGCCTCATATAATGAGATATTTGGGACTACCATACCAAAAGGACAATAGCCTCTGTGCTTATATTTCACAGAACCAGAGATAACTGGGTACACTTTAGCTTCTAAGCTTGGCTGAACTTTCTGGGCATGAACTTTGATGAACGTCTCATAACTTTCTCATGCTTTTCATAATATGCCCATGATTTCAACAGATAATGTCCTGGAGGCCAATAACAACTGAACCAACTCCATTGAGAAAGATTTAGTACTACTTTCCATCAGTCAGCAACTATTAGAATCCAACTTAATTCTAACTTGTAACATACTGAAAAGCCAAGAGGCCAACATTAACAATGAGACCAAGAACTGGAATATTGAAATACCTTTAATTGGGATTTACCTGATTGAACGTAACAATCTTTTGACTAACCTCTCAGAAGCAGCCTTAAAATGATTTTTGTTAAGAAGCAATCTCAGGAGAGAAACCTTCATTTACAAGAGACGGACTCTAAACCGGGTCACACAGATTCTAAGTTTAACATCAACACCATGATGCTTAATTGGGATGGGAAATTGATTTTAAAAAGCCAAGAATATTAAGATCTCTAAACAATCTAGAGCAAGAAGACAGTAAAATTAATTTTTAAAAGCTGTACCAACTAATTGAGAGACTGAAAATAGAAAACTTAAGGAAAAGAAAGAAATTGGCATAAAACAACTAGAGAAAGAATTAAAAATGTAACATAACTGGCCACAAAAACTGAGAGACAAAAGGGTAGGTTAATGAAGACAGTGAAGAGACGGCCTATTCTGGAGCAAGATTTGAGTCGTTGGATTCCATGACCAAATATGGAAGCTTCCACCACTTGCCCTATCTGAGAAGACATGTACATGCAGTACCCCAGCCATAAAAGATTTTGCTCATGTTTTGTTTGTCAACTATTTGTTCACCTTAGGCTTAGATACTTAATATCCCTACTTTAAAGAACAGCACACTGGGATTTGAATCATAGATTGTCCTATTTCTTCCTGGGCTCTTATTGTATCTTTGTAAACTGGTATAAATTGGCCTGATCATTGGATTGCATCATACAATTAAGTTTATAATTAAGGGAGTTGAACTAAGAACTTGTTATATCAAATAGATTGGGATATCCTGTATTTATCTGCTGATTCTTTGTGTTTACTACATATGTACTTTATTACTATATTTTCTTTTATCTATTTTAATTAGAATCCTGTATTTTATTTTTGTTTTATTTTTTTGATGTGGTCTTAAGACTAATTAATAAATATCTATATATCTGGAGGAGTGAGCACTCTGCTCCTTCTGTAACATTTTGACTCAGACATAATTGCCATATTAAATTGATTTAATATGAAATGGTTTGAAACCTCTTGGCATCTTTCCTTCATTCCTTTTAAGTTGGCCTGTATAAATTATCCTAAAGCTAAGGGCCCCCTAACTCAGAAGAAGTTAGTTATATTCTGTGAAAATGAAGAATTCCCTTAGCTATTTATATGATTGTTTCGAAGATGTATCCTCTTAATGCCTTCTGGTATTCTGTAGAGAGAAATAAGCTCAGAAGTTCTCAGAATAAGTTTCAGTGCTTTATTTAAAAAAAATGAAAAAGTGAAAAGAACAAAGCAAAAAATCTGTGTTCTCTTAGCATAGAAAGTAATTCTATATTTCTGAATATAAAGTTCTTTATTCAAGTTGTGAACTCTACACAGATGGCCAGCCCAACTATTGTAGAAACAAAAAGATCTTAGGAACAGATATTGGAACAGTGAGACAGAGAAACCTTGGTTGGTGATAGTGGAGTTCCTCTGATTTTTTTATTATGGCCCAGGTTATAATGTATATCTTTGTAAACTGGTGTAAATTGGCCAGCCCCGGTCGCTGTCCCTAGAATCGAGGGATAAGCTGACAAAGATTCGGGGAAGATCTCAGCATGAAGAAAGAAAGAGTGCGTGAAACCAGCACCCTGGTGGCGGCTGCTACCCCAGAAGGGGGAACAACAGCCAGCACGCTGGTGGAGAAGGAACTTTTTCAAGCCTCCCAGTGGAGGCAAAGCCCAAGCCACGAGGATAGCTGATCTGGTCATCGGAATGGACCCTACCCAGAAGAGACTCCAGACACTTTGAGATGGCCTTGCCACCATCAAGTGCTTCAAAGGTGGACAAGGTTGAGCTGCAAAGAGGGGATTCGCGCACGTCACGTTCCCCAGACCGGTGGAGAACCACAAAATCTACTGCTGAGGACTCGGGTGAGTGGAAATACCTGTCTGCAGCCCATAGTCAGTCAGTGGAGAAGTTGGTAGAAAGATTTGAGGAGCTAGAGATGAAGAGTGGGGAACAACCTTCCCAGTCCCCATATTCGAATGATCATGATGATCGGCGAGGCAGCCACCAACTCCTACCAAGGGGAATCCCTAGTCGCCCCTGTGCAGATCAGGCAGCCTCCCTGTCCTCCAAGCCACCGACCATGGCCTCCAGCCCCGTGGGGAGAGACAGCTCCAGTCGTCGCCCCTCCAAAAGCCCAGATCACCGCCGACAGGATAAGAGCCCGAGCCATCACCAGGACAGCCAAACTCTGGAACAATGTGCTTACCAGCCACCCAGGCTGGGACCCATACAACAATGGGTAATGTCGCATCTTCCTCAGGTGGGAAGCCAGCAGTTGCTGGCGAGGCAGCAGCCAACCTAGGGGTGGCCACAGCCCCTGAATGTGCAGCACCAGGTGGGCACCTTGCAACAACTGGGGATGATGTAGCCGCCAGGGGGTCAGCAACTGCTGTGAGCACTGCAACAGCAGTAGGGCTGGCCACTGCCTACGAACGTGCAGCAACTGCTGAGGGGCCCACAATCAATGGCGATCCAGCAACAACCACCTCCGGGGCCGCTGGGGGGCCTACAGCAACTGGGGGCACCACAACCCCCCACAGGCCAGCAGCAGTGGGGATGGCAGCAGCCCCCTCCGCAGCAGCTGGGGGTGCCATTAGAGCAGCCGATGAGATCGGTGGGGTTCGTACAGCAATTGGGGGTGCCATAGCTGCCGGCAATGCAACAACAGCTGTGGGGGTAGCAACAGCCCCCGGGCATGCAGCAACTGCTGGGAGGCTTGCAGCAACTGGGGATGTGGCAGCCGCCATGCGGGGGGCCAGCAACTATTGGGGATGCAACATCTGCAGTGGGGAGGCCAGCAACCACTGATGGTGCCACCTCTTAGAGCCACCTTCGATGGGGACCTGGAGAAGCTGATCTTTTTCCTCAATCAGGTGCGCTCTCACTTGAACTGCTGTGCCTATTTCTATCCAAACACAGCCACTATGGTTGACATGATTGTGTCCAGCTTGGAAGGAGAAGCATCCAAATGGCTGAACAATTTATATAACGAGCAAGCACCCGAGTTAGAGGACCCCCATCTCTTCCTCTTAGGACTGAGAGCAAGGTTTGAGGACCCATCCATTGCCCTCAAAACGGAGGAGCAAGTCCACAAAATAAATCAAGCCGGCAGGCCTGCACTGGAATACGTACAAGAGTTTTGCAAGATAGTCAGCCGAATAGAGAGGTGGCCAGAGCAATCCCTAGTTCATCACTTCAACGAGGGACTAGACGACCACCTCTCCCAAGCTTGTATCTATCGAGCACTCCCTGATCAGTTGCAAGAATGCTACCAGGCAGCAGTAAGACTAGATGTTCAGCTTGCCTGCTATCAGAAGCCACCCCCACAGGAAGCTGAGTTGAGGCCAAATCTACCCAAATGACAGTCACCCCCCTGAAAGCCTACAACAGCTGTAGCTACTGAAAATCCCAGACCTGCTGGCCCACCGATCAAGTGTTTCAAATGTGGACAACAGGGACACCGAGCAGCGAATTGCCCAGTTCCTTACCCTCAACAGCAGAATAGACCGGGACCACCAGCAAGAAAGAAACCAGCCCAGCAGCCAACGAAAGAGAAATCCAACTGGATCACACAGAAACCCGTTGCCCAAGTCACATTCCCCACGCAGGAGAGTGCCGAGACCCAAGCCGGACCTGCCACCGCTCTATCCTCCTAGACAGCAACAATGAAGGAGAAAATGATGAGTTGACACACCCCACTTTTCTCACTACCTGCCAAACTCATAATCCCTAAGACAGGTAGATTTAAAAGTACTAGTTGACTCTGGATGTTCCCGGTGCGTTATTAGTTTGTCACTTGCCCTGAAAATGGGCATACGAGCAAAGCTGCTCTCCAAACCCATGAGGTTTGAGCAAGCTGATGGCTCCCTAATGGGAGGAACTTTAGTCACGCAATTGACTGAACCCCTATGCTTAAAAATAGGTGAGCACTGGGAGTTCATTCGTTTCATGGTAGCTCCGAAAATGACTAAGGCTGTGATCCTAGGGCTAGCCTGGTTGGACAAATGGAAGCCATTTATCTGGTGGGAGAAGAGAATGAGGACTGTAAGTTTATCTATAGGACCCAAGCCCCCGCTTAACTCGATGAACATTACAGGAGACTTTAGCCCACCCAACGAGCTAATGCACATGGCCACCTTGTTTCAACCAGGCTCATCCCCAGTGAATACCGGGACCTAGTGGAGGTATTTAGTGAGACGAAATGCAACATCCTGCCTCCCCACCGACCCAATGATTGCTCTATCGAACTGTTACCAGGAGCCAAACTGAGAATGTATGCTATGTCCCCCCTTGAAATGAAGGAGATGCAATGGTATGTGGACAAAAACTTAGCAAGGGGATTTATCAAATGGGCCAAGTCTGCTGTGGGAGTCCTGGTGTTATTTAAAGAAAAAAAAAAGACGGGTCACTTCGTCTCTGCATAGATTATAAAGGTCTGAACGCAGTGAGCATGGAAAACAAATACCCCCCTCCTGAAGGACTTACTGACCCACCTGGCTAAGGGGAGGGTCTTCACTAAGTTGGACTTGAGAGAGGCTTATAACTGGGTGAGGATAAAGGAGGGAGATGAGTGGAAGACTGCTTTTAACTGTTCCATGGGGAGCTACCAATTTAAAGTCATGCCTTTTGGTCTGCAAGGGGCTCCAACTGTCTTCATGCAACTGATTAATCAGGTACTACATGACCATTTATACAAAGGGGTTTTGGTGTACCTTGATGACATCCTGGTATGCAGTACAAATATGGCTGACCACATAAAACTAGTAAGAGAAGTGCTAAAGAAACTGTTCAACGCCAAACTTTATGTTAAACTATCAAAGTGTGAGTTTCACCAGACCCAACTGGATTATCTTGGCTACAGAATTTCCAGCGAGGTCATTGAAATGGACCCAACCAAAGTGAAAGCTGTAATTGAATGGCAACCCCCAAAGACTCGCAAATAGCTCCAGAGCTTTCTAGGATTCGCCAACTTCTACCGTAAATTCATTCCCTCTTTTGCTGAAATTGCCCTGCCCTTATGGAATTACTAAAAACAGGCAAAGGGGGAGAAAAGCCACGTCCAGGCCAACCACTAGCAAACTGCTTTTGAAGATTTAAAAAGACTATTTGTGCTTGAACCGGTCTTAAAACATCCTTGCCCAGGAAAGCCCTTTGTGATTCAAGCTGATGCCAGCGACATGGCCATTGGAGCTGTGCTACTGCAAAAGAACCAGAGTGGGATACTACAACCCTGCGCCTACACCTCAAAAAAATTCACTGAATGCGAGAGTAGGTGCTGTGTGGGAAAAGGAGGCTTTTGCAATCCACTGGGCTCTATTAAACTGGCGACACTATCTAGAGGAGAGTAAGGTGCCTTTTGAGGTATGGACTGATCACAAAAACCTAGAAGCACTAAAGACTCCCCGCAAATTGTCCCCGAAACAAGTACGATGGGCGCAGTACTTTAACCGTTTTAACTTCACCCTAAAATACATACCGAGAGGAAAAAACTTCTTAGCTGATGCTCTATCCAGACTGCCCCAGTACAAAAGCCAGTGTGAAGAGGTTAATGAGGCAATTATCTCCAATCCACAAACCGCTTCTCAGCTTACACCGCGCAGTGTCCCACTTCCAGAGCTCCTAATCCCAATGACCCTGGGGCAAAGAAAATAAAACAGGAGCTCCTCACTGACCACTGGTTCAAGGACAATCAAACCTCCCTAACATGCAGGGATGGTTTGGCTTACAAAGGTGGAAAACTATATTTGCCAGAGACCTTCCGCCTTAATGCACTCCGACACAGCCATGACGTAAAACAGGCTGGGCACTTTGGATATTTAAAAACACTACACCTCATCCGCCATCAATTCTGGTGGCCGGGATTGAAACAGGATGTGGAAAACTATGTCCGGAGTTGTGCTGTATGTGCCACCATGAAAAGAATTCCGGGGAAACCCCCTAGGATATTGCAACCAGTGGCAGACCCTTCCCAACCATGGGAAAAAATTGCTATGGATTTTATAGTAGATCTACCTGAAAGTAGGGGAAATACAGTCATCTGAACTGTGATAAATCTGTTCTCAAAGCAGGCTCACTTCATTGCCTGCAAAGGGCTCCCGTTCGCCCAACGACTAACCAAAATGTTCCTGAAACACATCTACAGACTGCATGGCGCACCTAAATGAATAATCTCTGACGGGGGTGCAGTTCACAGCTAAGTTTTGGAGAAGTTTTCTTAAACTAATTGGTTCATCTCAAGGACTATCATCTGCTTTTCACCCATCTACTAATGGGGCGGCTGAATCCGCAAACTCAGTGGTGGAGCAGTATCTCAGATGCTATGTTGATTATTAACAAATGAACTGAACTGACCTCCTCCTTTTCGCAGAGGTGGCTTACAATAACTCTGTTCACAGCAGCACCGTCTTCACGCCTTTTAAAATGGCCACATGAAAATAGTTCAGCTCGATACCCGAATACCCCCAAGCACCCTCCGCTTCCCAGACTCTTGATCAGTGGGTGAGGGGATGGGAAAAAGTTTGGAAAACCACAAAAACTGCTTTGAAAAAGGCTTCCGAAACATACAAAAAACAGGGAGATAAAAAAGGGCTCCTCAATTACTCTGTGGAGTTAGAGATACTAATACTTGTTTACTTATATCTGAATATTATCCTGGGATTAGGTTTGGGAAGTCCGGGGGGGTGGGGGGTGGGGGGTCTTTCATATAGCATTGTGTAACATTTGTGATGTTTTTTTTATGATGAAAAATAATAAAAATTAAAAAAAAAAAAAGGGCTCCTCAAAGAACATTTCAAGTTGGGGAAAAGGTTTATCTGTCAACTAAATATTTATGGCTTAAGTTACCTAGTAAGACATTAGGACTGAAGTACTTAGGACCCTTCCCCATTGTAAAGATCATTAACCCAGTCACAGTGGAATTAAAACTTCCTAGGCTTAGGAAAAATTCACTCTGTTTTCCATTGTAACCTGTTGAAACCTTTTCGGGGTTCCATTTTAAGACCTCCCCCTAAGAAAGCACCCGGACCCCTCATGGTGGCAGGACAGACTCACTATGAAGTAAAGCGTATTCTCAATTCTAGAATTTTTAAGGGGAAATTGCAGTACTTAGTGCAATGGAAGGGATATTCGTTGTCTGAGGCCACTTGGGTGAAGTCTAGCGATGTGAAAGCTGATAGACTCATTAACAGGGTTCTATAAGAAACAGCCTAATAAACCAAGAGGCAATCTCTAACCTGTGCTTTTCTTTACATTACAGGATTTGTCCTTTTTGTAAGGGGGGCTGGATGTCAATGCTACTAACATCAGATGTTCTTGCTTTGACAACAGATGGAAATGTAGCCATCTTTTCTCTTTCACTTTTAGAGTTAGATGATACTGGGAGGGGGGATGTGGATGAGAGTCCAGTTAGTCATAACAACAATAACTCAGCCGTAGGAATCAAGATTATTGTGCCCAGAGCTGATAAGGATTTGGTGGGCTAGAGAGCTGGGGAGAAAGCCCACGCTTCAAACTAATTGGGGGAAGGTGATTTATGACTGTTAATTGGAGGAGGTAATTGTGCTTTGCTACTTTGTGCCCGGGGGGGGGGAATTCAGTTTTTGGCTTTAACTATGTAGTGCCGATGCTTTGTTTCTTGAATAAAAGATTCCTTAAGGTAAACAATGCCTTGAAGTTCTTTTAAAGATTTTCATCTGTTGGAACCATGATAATCATGTGATCCAGATTCAATTTACATCCATTTTTTACTCTCATTAAGCGAGTCATTTTAGTTATTAAGCGAAACACATTATTGTTAAGTGAATCGCATG